GAGGGAGAGGGAGAGGGAGAGGGAGAGGGAGAGGGAGAGAGAGAGAGAGAGAGAGAGAGAGAATTTCTTCTATTTAACCTTTCATCCCATCTCTAAATTCAAACAAATAATACACTATCAAGATGTAAAGTATTACAATGATAACATATCACCATGAATGATGTTGAAAAAAAAATAGACTATATTTTTTAGGGTGGGTATGGTGATGCAGACCAGTAATCCCAGCAAGAGAATCAGGAATTCCATGAGTGTCCTTGCTCACAGGGATTTTGAAGTTAGCCTGGGCTCTATGAGATCCTGCCTCTTCTTGCTTCCCTGGGCACCAGACATGCACATTGTGCGCATATATTCATGCAGGTAAAACAGTCACACGTGTAAAATAAAATATGTGGAAACAAAAAAATAGAGGAAACAAAGGCTGCGGTGAAAAGTTCAGGAAGACTCAGCAAGGGGGGAAGATAGATTGTGAGCCCTCTGGGTCACAACGGTGTTAAGTATTCTGATGTAAATATCCTACCTTGTGCTTTTTAACTATTATACTTATAAATTAAGACATTATTGTGCTGTCGTCAAGAATTATTCAAATATGAAGAGACTGCCGATTTCCTTGTAGAAACTCAAATGAAACATGGTGGGGGGGCGATGGAGAGGGGCAGGCTAATGGTAGTGGGAAAAAGAAAAAAAAAAGGCCGATAATTGAAGCTAGTCATTGGTTGATATTTATTTTTAATCCAACACACATTTATATAACAGTTTTTTTTTCTTACCTGACAGTAAGATCCTTTATAATTTTCCCCGTACGCGTCACCTCTCTGTCACAGGGTTCTGCGGGGCAGACTCTCTATCCTTCCACAGAAGTTCAGGGGCTTAAAATTATACTTGGTAGCGTTTCTTAGAAACCACAGCAACCCAGTTCTGCTATACAAAATGTTTTTTCCTTTGAAATGTAGGTTGATCCTTCTGTCTCCTAAAAGGAACCAGTAAACCGTTCACTCTCTGCGAGGGGCTTAAGCATCCACCTGGAGGCGCCAAACACTCTATTGAATCTTCGGAGGAAGAACGCCAGAGACGGTCGCCTTTTCGGTCCAAGTGAGTGTTTCTTTAAATAACTTCCCCACTCCAGGGAAGGGGACCAAGCCCGCACCTACGTTTGTTGCCAAATCAGCGCGTACGTCACGCAAGGGACTCTGGAAGACCGAGTCTCGGTGCCCCGAGGTGAACTAGCACGGCGGGGAACGCTGGACTTCAATTCCCACAATGCCCGGCGCAAGCCCGCGGCTCTGCCTGGGAAATCCGAGCGGCGGCGGCCATCTTGCGTATGGAGCTGCTCCCGCCCCGCGCGTCTCTCCCGCTCGGCTTTGTAGCTTCCTCTCGGACGGCCTTTCGCGCTCTCGGAGGTTCGTGTCTTTGCGGGAGTTTTGTTTGGTCTGTTTTGTCTCGGGAAGGTGGGGTGGGTGGAAGTACATGCCGAGCTGCGGGGGAGCGGACGCCCGGGTGTGGTTGGGGGAGGTGCTTCCGGTTCCGTCTGCGGCGAACGGCTCCAAGTTTTCACCCGCGGCTTGGCACGACCCCTTGGTTTAACTGTGAGCGTGGGAGCCCGACGAGAGCCTTTCCCCGCCTCGGAGGCCCCCGCAGGTTCTAGACGGGACCTTGTCGTTTTCCTTAAGGACGGCGAAGCTGGGGCGCCCCCGGCCGGGCCGCTTGCCCGGCGGCCCGGAGGCGTTGAGGCCCAGCCAGGAGGCTGGCGGTGCCCGTGCACCCCTCGCTCTGCCTCGGCGATCTCTGGTGTTGGAGTGGGGAGCCGGGAACATGTGACTGAGGTGGGGGCTGTTTCCGGGAGAATGGCTCCCTCCACTGTTGGACTCCGCTAAGGGCCTGCCTGCTTTCTTCCCTGCTTTGGTGGGGTTTTGGGTTTTGGGTCCAAGAGCGGGCCGAAGGAAGTACGGGATTCTTGGTTTCTTAAGGGTTCAAAGAAATGTAAAAGAGACGCGAAGGTGTCTTTTGTTTCGTTCTGTAGACATAATCTCACTCTGTAAGTCAGGATGCTCTGGAACTCAGCTGTGTAGTCAGCCCATTCTGGCCTGAAATCGCCTATTGATAGGATTACAGGGTTCAGACACTGCCTGTCAAGAGAAGTGTAGCTTTCATTAATTTATTGACGGGTCTTGTGTACTGCAGACTGACTTAGAACTTAACTAACTATGTAGTCCAGGCTGGTCTTGAACTTCAGATCTTCCTTCTCCGCCATCTGCCAAAAGCTAGCATTGCAGTTATACACCAGCCTGCCTGCAAAGTTTATTTTTAAGTTAGAGAAACTGCTAGAAAAGGTGAATGCTTTGAGTTTTCTGATTATTTTTCCTAAGCATAATTTGTATCCTCAAACTCTTATTTTTTTTTCTTTTAAATTCTTGCACTCAATTTGGAACTGCTTTATACAACTTGGAGGGAAAAGGTCCACAAAGACTGTGATTTAGTTCAACTCGTGTCGATGCTAAAGACAGGTGATGCAAGTATGGAAACTGAAGGCTGTATTCCAAAAGACACAGTGATTTTAAACAGGAAGGGATTCATGATACAGTGTACCTTAGCCAGTTTAGAAACAAATGCCAGTGATGTATCTGTACACACACATGTAGATACACATACGATACGGACTCAGGTTTCCAAACGTAGGTCCTTAAACTCTGGAATGGATTGTTTAAAGACAGGACTGTTAGCACGGACCTGTAATCTCAACTACTCAGAAGGATGGACAGGTAAGGCCTCCCTGAACTCTACACAGAGAATTCAAGGCCACACTTGTCAACTTAGTGAGACACTGTCTCAGCAGGAAAAAGGTAGGACATAGCTCTGGAGTAGTGTTCATTTAGCATGCATGAGGTCATAAGTTCATCTTCACCTCCAAAAAATGAGGTACACATATATTTTTAAATTATACTAACTTCAGTAAGACTCCTCCTGTAAATTATTATGACTTAAAATAAGTACTTAAAATAAGTGGTTATAAAATTACACGTTGACTTTGGTTATTAAATGCTTATGTCACAAAATCTTTTTTTCCACACTCCTTCCTTATGAAAAAGCCTTTATTTAAATTTTTAAAAATATGACCTAATAATTGTGTGCTTTACTCCTCAGATGCCCTATAGTGAAATTGAAGCTAAGTTTTTGGGACCTGGAAAAGAACTAACAAGGGAACCATGCTCTAAAAAATTGAAGTCAGCTGCAGATGATTGTGTTTTGTCCCATCGAGGTGGTCCTGAAAGTCACAGACTCCAAGAGAAAACCAGAAATAATAGGATCCCCGTGGCCACCATTAACTTCAGAAGACGTATTTGTCCTGAGGAAGACAAAACCACAACTACAGATGTGTTGAAGCCTTCGTACAAGGAGATGCCTGGTGATAAACTAGGTGCTGCTGAAGCCATTGGTTCGAAAGCTTTGCAGGATGGAAAGCCTTCGTCACTATCCAAGGATGACGAAATCTATAGCACAAGTAAAGCATTCATAGGCCCCATTTACAAACCCCCTGAAAAGAAGAAATGCCGAGAAAGGAAGCACGAGACGGACAGTTTCAGTAGTGTAGATGACAAAAGAAGACGAGAAGAAAAACAGAAGTTTATCTCCAAAAAAGTGGAGATTGACACGGAATTATCCCAGTTTTACAAAGAAATTGAAGAGCTGGAAAATGAAAATGATGCTTCACAAGGCAGTTGTAAGGTACCAGAGCCTTCCCCAGAACAAATTATTCCTTATGACCAGGCCTGTGGTACCTTAAAGTCCGAGGAAGAAAGTAAAGACCTCAGTAGTGCTCTCCAGTCACATTGTGGTTACCAGCAGTACTTGGAGAATGAACCAGGCAGACATCCCTGTGATGAACAAGTGATGCCTCCGTTTTGTGATACTTCATTCTCTTCCTTCGGGCCTGAATGGCAGTCAATACATCCTTTTGTCATACCCCATGGTCCTCCTCTTCCCAGTTTTAATTATCATTTTAATATTCCAAGATTCAATGCCCCACTAAATCCACCACCAAATATTTTCCATGGGCAAGATGACTCTCAGATGCAGAACGGGTGTTACGTAGATAGTTGTCAGGATAGCTGGAACTGTTTAACTTTTGATCAGAACGATGAGTATGTTCATTATGGTGTGACCAGCAATACTGTTCAGCCCTTTAGAAATGGCTACAGTGTGCAGGATGAAAGTGTGAGTGATGGTTTCTGTGAAATCAGAGAGTGCTGGAGAGAGCCTTTTCTGGGAGAGCGCAGTGGAGCAGACAGGTTGGTGAGCCAGTGGTTTCCAGAGGAGAAGCTAAACAAATTGCAGAAATTACTTATTCTTCTGCGAGGCCTCCCTGGTTCTGGAAAAACAACATTGTCTCGGTAAGTAAAGGATACCAAGAGAATACTTGATTCCTTACTTAATAAGTGATCAGTGCTAAATGCTCTCATGTTTCTAGCAGAAAATTTATCCACTGTGTTTGGGAGTGACATCTGACTGGAAATACTTAAAAAGATGTATTCTAGTGGAAAAGGGTGAATTGCTGTATATATATTTAGCTTCTTATAAGAGCTTCAAAAGTGAACTGTGAGTAAAACGGCAACAAGCAATGCTGCTTAAGAATTGGGTAGCCGGCATAAGTCAGCTATTCAAGAAAAGCTGGACTCGGCACTAGGAGATCTGGGCTTTGGTACTTTTTCACTCTGCTCTTGGGCAAGTTTTGCTGCTTGTTAATGGAATGAGGGATATTCATTTTCTTAGAATTTGAAAAACAAATTAGGGGTCTTGAATGTATTAAGCATTATGCCATGTTCTTACCTAATTAGGATAGCAATTTTTTATTTTAAGGTTTATTTCTTTTTATTTTGCCTGCATTGGTGTTTTGTTTGGTGAGGGTGTCAGAGCACTTGGAGATAGCTTTGAGCTGCCATGGGGGTGCTGGGAATTGAACCCAGGTCCTTCGGAAGAGCAGCCAGTACTCTGAACCGCTGAGCCATCTCTCCAGCCCAGGATAGCGATTTTAGAAAATATATATTTTATGTGTATGGGTGTTTTGTTTACATGTGTATCTGTGCACCACTTCCAGGAGGCCAGAAAAGTTCCCCTGGAACTGGAGTTACAGACAGTTGTGAGCCACCACGTGAGTGCTGGGAACTGAACCCAGGTCCTCCGCAAGAGCAGCCAGTGCAGTGCTCCTAGCCACTGAACCATCTCTCCAGCCCTGTGGGACTGAATTGCTGTTTAGTTTTAAATTTTTAGTGTGTTGAATTGAGCACTCTGATTAGTGGCGTTAGAACTGGTAATGTTTTTATTGTTACAAAATATTTCAGATTTCCAATTTTCTTTACAATTTAAAGACAGCATTGTCACAATTTGCTCAAGTGTGGAAAATAACTCAAACTATAAATTTCTTGTAGTTTATATAGGAAAGGTTAAAAAAAGTATCTTTGTGTGAAGACTAGTATCTGAAGAATTTACAGATACTTATATTTATTTGTAATATAACCTAAATAAATAAAATTTCTTGAGACAAAAACAGAAATTCAGTTTATAGTATAGATTTTCAAGCAAGATTTTAAGCTGTTTTAATTGATTCATGTTTTTGTGAAGGTTTTGTAGAGAATATGAAGTTAAGACTCAGAAGAGTGAACTTGTCTTACAATATTCTGGATTTAGGTTATATCAGAGAAAACAGATAGTTGAGACTTGGAAATTGGTTGATGTAGGTCTACTAGTTAGAACTGAATATTAAAAAAGAAAAGAAAATTAGGACAACAGGTTGGAGAATGTTGGAATGGAACTCAATAGAATTTCAAGAAGGCCTGAGAGATTAGGTAGAGGTGATTATGTCTTGAGGAGAAGAAGGTGGAACATTTAAAACTGGAAGGATGCAGCAAGATCTCAGATTCAAGGCCAATCTGGGCTAGGGACCAAGTTATAGGCTAGCCTAGGCAACATAGAGAACCAGTCCCCTAAGCGGATGCTTAGTAGGAAGTGCCATTTGTGTCAGATTTCAGTTTAGAGAGTACTTTGACAAAGGAAAGTTTGGGGAGCTGAGTTGTTTTCATTTTATAGGCGCAAAGCCTAGACGAAATAGTTGAGGTTAATAGAAACTACTATTAAAAACCAAACCCCTTCCTACCCCCAGAACAGAAAGTAAGAGATCAAAATGGTAATGTGCTTCCCCCTATGTTTTCATTTTTAAAAGGCTTTACATTTTCATTTGTCTGTCTGTCTACTGTATTTACGTGTGTATGCCTCACACGCATGTGCCTGCCTTCATCTGTAGTACCTACTGCATACGCACTTTATGTGTGGTTCCTCACTTCAAGGAGCGTGGTTAGAGACAGGAAAACACATACACACAGGAGTGCCTCTTTAGATTGATGGACATTGTTTAATGAAGACAGCTCCCCTTTGGGTTGTGATTTTTGTTTTGTTTGGTTGGTTGGTTGGTTTGATTTTGGTTTTTTGGGACAGAGTCTCTATGTAGCCCTAGCTGTCCTAGAACTCACTATAGGCTAGGCTGGTATTGACCTTACTGCCTCCCAAGTGCTAGGACTAAAGAGGTCCCCCACCAGCCCGGCTTGACTCCTTTACTTTTAAGACTCTACCCCTGAGTTATTTGGCATCCAACATAAAACCATACACAGCTTCATAGAGGTGCTAGCTTTCACAGCAAGCTTTGAAGACAGGAAAGAACACGGAATTGTTGGATCAGAACCCTGCCGAGCTGGAGCAGTGAATCAGCCTCCCTTTGCTAAGGAGCCCCATTCTTAGTTTAGTCCTTATCTCTCCGCCTCCACAATACCTGTTTGCATTTGTTAGTTTGCTCTATTGGTGTGCGGTGGCTTCTTTAAAGGTGGCTTTAGATGCCTCCTGTTTGTTTTGAGATACTGGCTTACTATAGTAGCCTGAGCTGGTCTGCAGCTTACTGTGTGGTCCAGCATGTCCCGGAACCCACTGAGGAGCTCTGACTGGGACTGACTCATGCTCTCTGGTGCCTCGGCTTCCCAAGTGTTGGGATTGTAGGCATATGCCATTACTTTTGAGGCTTTTCTTTCTCTTGTGCATCCTTAGTAGTTTCCGAATTTATATAGTTTTTACCTTTACTACTTTGTGTTCAGTATAAGCTATACAAGACAGCATTATCTTCTTGTTCATTAACGGTTGACCTAAGCCATTTTAGTCATAAGAAGGCAAGAGTTAGTTGTTTCTGGTTGGGAAACTCTACCAACCATTTGTGTGTTTTTTTTTTTTTGTTTGTTTGTTTTGTTTTAGTTTGTTTGTTTTTTTCGAGACAGGGTTTTTCTGTATAGTTTTGGTGCCTGTCCTGGATCTCGCTCTGTAGACCAGGCTGGCCTCGAACTCACAGAGATCCATTTGGCTCTGCTCCCAAGTGCTGCGATTAAAGGCGTGCACCGCCGCCGCCACCACCCCACCATTTGGTAATTTTTATTATTTATTATTATTTTATTTTTTGGGGCGGGCGGTGTGTGCTGGGGATAGAACCTGAGCCGTGTGCATCCTGTACAAACATTCTCACACTGAACTTCATCCCCTAGCCCCTAGTTTTGTTTGTTGTTGTTGTTGTTTGTTTGTTTGTTTGTTGAGATAGGGACTTTCTAGAAAATGGAGGCTTGCCTGAAATTTGCTGTGTAGCAGAGGCTGGCCTTAAACTTAGCATCATCTGGGGGCCGGATTACATGCATGAATCACTACACTTGGCTCGCTACTAGCTTTTTTTTTTTTTTTTTTTTTTCCCAAGATTTATTTATTTATATGTATACAGTGTTCTGCCTGCATGTACAACTGCAGGCCAGAGGAGGGATTATCAAAGATAAAGGGAGGTTGAGACATTTGTAACAGTTTATAGTCCACATTTGGAGACTCATCCTTGCTTCGTTAGCAAGGGATATGATTTCTCTGATTAGACAAATACCTGGGCTATAGTTTAAATCATCCAAATGATCTCATATCTGTGCTAAAATATTTTAAGGTGAATTATAACAATTATGTTGGATATAATATATACTTTATATTTTAAATTTATTCAGTATTGTAAGCAGAGAACCAAGCTTGACAACAGCAGCTGTAATTTGTTCAGTGTCTGTATACAGAGCTACTACCCTGAGAGGAGGTATTAATAATTATACAAATGAGTATATAGAATGGTTTAGTAACCTTATAACATGCCATCTCTAGAACTAGAAGTTTAGATTTCTAGAGATAACTTCAGAACTTGCCTATTTTTTTCCAAAACCATATAGTCTCCAACATGATGCATGCCCTAGACATTTACTGATGGCTTCATTCATTTACTCAAGGTCTCAGTACATAGTACAGGGTGTACTAAAACTTGTGAATTTCCTGCTTGCACCACCATATCTAGCTTTTGCTGAGAATTCTAAAGCAAGAGACGGTGCAGTTGTCCCTTGGTTCTTGGGTGAGTTGGTTGTGGGCTCCTGTACAGGTATCAAACTCCTTGGATACTTAAGTCCCTTGAATAAAAGGGTATCACATTTGTATATGCCTTATACATATATTCCCATGTGTGCATTTAAATGATCTCTGGATTCCTTAAAATACCAATGCAATGTAAACGCTGCATATTTAGTTGTACTGTGAACTGGTATTTTAGAACAGTTGGGAAAATGTGCTGTAATGGTAATAGGATATAATTGACGGATTTATGAGAAAAATTTAAAACTCTGCCTTCTGTCATTCAAAAAATAACTACTAGATGGTTAAAGGACTAAAGTAAAAAAAAAAAAAACAAACTAGAAGGTGGCTGGAGAGATGGCTCAGTGGTTAAGAGCACTGGCTGCTCTTCCAGAGGTCCTGAATTCAATTCCCAGCAACCACATAGTGGTTCACAGCCATCTATAGTGGTATCTGATGCCGTCTTCTGGCTTAAAGGTGTACATGCAGTTAGAGCACTCATACACATAAAAATACCTTGAAGAAATATCGTAATTTGGGCCATCAAACCTAATGACCAGAATTTGATCCCTGGAACCCAGATGCCATGTGTGCCCTCACACCACACACACACACACACACACACACACACACACACACACACACACACACGAAATAACTGTTGCTAAAGAGTAAAGAGTTGCTAAAAAAAAAAATCTAATAATTTACCATCTAGGAAATTAAAACAAAACAAACAAACAAAAACTTGAGAAAACAATGTTTGGTGTTAACTTTTTGGTTTCTTATTTTGTTTTTTCCAGACAAGTCTCTGTGTAGCCCTGGCTGCCCTGGAACTCACTCTAGATCCTCCTGCCTCTGCCTCCCAAGTGCTGGAATTAAAGGTGGTTGTCACCACCGCCTGGCTGGTGCTAACATTTTTATTTAAGCCATTTAGTGTGGTAAGTGCTATACATGTTACTTTCTGAGAAAGGGGGATGTGGGGTTAAGTATTTGAGATGAAGTGATTATCCTGTGTGGGCCCACTATAATCACAAAGCATCTTTTTTTTTTTTTTAAGATTTATTTGTTTGTTTGTTTGTTTGTTTATTTATTTATTATGTATACAGTGTTCTGCCTGCATGTGTCCTTTCAGGCCAGAAGAGGGCACCAGATCTCATTACAGATGGTTCTGAGCCACTATGTGGTTGCTGAGAATTGAACTCAGGACCTCTGGAAGAGCAGCCGGTGCTCTTAACCGCTGAGCCATCTCTCCAGCCCCCACAAAGCTTCTTAATAAGAAGGTAGCAGAAAGGAAAGTCACAGATATAAACACAAGAAGCAGGGGTCAGAGGAGAGAAGGCTCCACATTGCCTACTTTGTACTAATGGTCAAAGGCCCCACAAACCAAGATAGTGAGTGTGCCTAACCTAGAAACTAGAAAAGACAAGACAACACTCTCTAGAACACAGAGAAAGACATTGACCTTCAAAACTGCAAGATAATAAGTTCTGGTTGTTTTCAGATCATTTGTTACAGTAACTATAGGAATTAAAAGCACTGTTTGAAAGTGACAGATTTTTTTTCCTTCCCTTTCTCTGGAAGAGAGTGGTCTTAGTTGAACTCAGTAGGAGATTCTTGTTTCTGCTCTTAAGTTCTTTATGTCTTACCCGAGAAAATAAGGTAGATGCTCCAAAGTGCTTGAGTACGGTGCTTCTGCACTAGGGTCTCAGCCTGTGCCAGGTTCACTTAGATTGTTTGTTTTGGTTGTTTGGACTACTAGCCCTGTCTGGCCTAGAACTCAAGAACTTACTGTGTAGATCTCACGGCTGCCCTGGAACCCAGAGATCCACCTTAAAAGCTAGTAACCAGATCTATTCAGAAGCCTCTTGGGGAAGAGACTGTCCAGGATCATTGTAGGCCACTGGTTTGGGAGGCAGAGGTATCCCTGGCCTAGCACTGAGAATTTGATTTCATGACCTTTGTTTCCTGCTGCATAGTCAGCTTCACTGGCAGAACTGCTGTATTTATTTTCTTTTCTAGGCTTGTTTAATACCACATTGTCAGGGTTTTGAGAATTGAATGAGATCATAGAGATGTATGAGTCATGGTAAGTTCTCAAAAGATAGCTCTTTTGAGAAACTGTGACTCAAATGGCCACTGATAGTGTTTAATTAGTTGTTTGATTTACTTAGTTCCAAGATACTAACATTTTTAGACTGCATCTAGAAGACTTGATGAGATAATTCAAGTATAAGAATTTTGAAAATATGTTTCTTTTGGTTCAGATGCTTTATAGCGTATCCCATTCCCCTAGGTTGATAAGCACTTTTTTAATTTCCTGAAGTGAAGCTTCATACCCGAGATAGTTGTGGAGTTTGAAAAGGATGTGTGCACACTTCCTGCTGTCTGGGAAGAAAATGTCTCAAGTCAGCCTCAACTGTTACTCATTATGATTTATGTATTCAAGAAGGTCTTTGGGGCTGGGCAATGGCGGCACATGCCTTAATCCCAGCACTTGGCAAGTGGATCTCTGAGTTCCAGCCTGGTCTACAAAGCAAGTGCCAGGACAGACAGGACTGTTACACAGAGAAACCCTGTCTTGAAAAAACAAAAACAAAAAGTGTATGTGTTAAGAGTTTTACCTGTGTCTGCATGCCTGGTGCCCGTGGAGATCAGAAAGAGGCATTGGATTCCCTCCATAGTTGTCAGATGGGTGCTGGGAATTAAACCTGAGCCTTCTGCAAGAGCAGTCAGTGATCTTAACCACTGAGCCATCTCTATCGCCCCAACATTTAGCTTTAAAAATGGTTTCCTAGGGGCTGGAGAGATGGCTCAGAGGTTAAGAGCACTGGCTGCTCTTCCAAAGGTCCTGAGTTCAATTCCCAGTAACCACATGGTGGCTCACAACCATCTGTAATGAGATCTGGTGCCCTCTTCTGGCCTACAGGAATACATGCATATATAATAAATAAGTAAATAAGTAAATAAATAAATAAATAAATAAATAAATGATCTTTTTTTAAAAAAGCAAAACAAATTTTAAAAAAAGAAATAATTTCAAAAAAATTTTTCCATTCACAAAAAAAGGATTAAAAATCTTTTGTAGTCTTTTTGAAATCAGGCTTTCTAGGCTAACATACAAACTAATCAATTTCATTGTGCATTTCACTCCCCGCCCCCACCCCACCTGCTTCCTTTCTTCCTCAGCTAATTCTCCTGCTTTCTCTCACGTGTGGTATGTTACCTTGATTTCTCTCCCTCCCTTAAGATCTCAGTCCTCTCATGGTCCTTTTCTAATTTTCTGACCTGGAAACAGCACAAAGATAAATACACATCATTGAAGCATTTTTTTATATGTCAAGTTATCTATTTAAGCAAATATAGACATGTCAGCTATGGTTCGGAGAAAACTATAAAAATTGAAATCTGGCAGGGTGGTGGCACACGCCTTTTTCCCCAGCATTTGAGAGGCAAGGGCAGGTGGATCTCTGTGAGGTCAAGAGCTACAGATGAATTCCAGGAAAGGCTCCAAAGCCACACAGAGAAGCCCTGACAAACCAAAACCAAAAAAACTTGAAATCCAACTCTATTTCCTCCAAAGAAATACATAGACAACACAAACCCTAACTTCTGTTTAGTTTATTTAATGTAATTTGCTGTAATTCTGCTAGAACTTACTACAAAATACATAATACACTATAACTCAGATTTAAAGTTTGCCACTTTGATACGTGATACCATTTTTTATTTTAAGGTCTTAAAAGCTGTGGGGCGGAGCAAAGGCCTTTGTCATGTTAGTAGCTGAAGAAGTCCTCCTCCTGCTACCTTTTGGTAGGAGGCACTCTCAACTCATCCTGGGACTGGATTGTTTCACTCGTCAGTTACTTCTACCAACTACCCCGTCCACCTCCTTCACATGCTCCCGAGATGTCCCCTGGTTGCTGATTGAGAGGGAAGAGTGAGACTCAGGATGTTTTCTGTAGGGTCAAAGCCTTGTCTCACTCCCAGTCTCACTGCTGATGGGAATTCTCTTGATAGTCGGAACTTTCATTACTACCGACGGCTTCTCTTATCATCACTCCTTAAACAATGTGGTGGACATGGCTGTTTGCACTGGATTAGGTAATATAAGTAATCCAAAGATGGTTTCAAGTATATGTAAGATGTATGTAGCTCATAGGCAAATATCACACAGTTGTATACACAGGGCTTGAGCATGTTTGTTTGTTTGTTGATTTTTGGGTGTTTTTCAGGACAGGGTTTCTCTGTCTAGTTTTGGTGCCTGTCCTGGATCTCGCTCTGTAGACCAGGCTGGCCTCGAACTCACAGAGATCCGCCTGGCTCTGCCTCCCGATATGTAAAGTAAATTACTTGTACAGGCCAAGGTAAGTGTAGTGGATTTGGTTTCCTTTTGTTTGTTTGTTTATGAAAAATACTGTGGTTGAATAGCTAAGAACTTTAGAACTGATAGTCCAGGATTCTGAATTCTTTTCAGCTTTTATTTGTCTTTCTGTCCACATATCCCCATGTACTGTATATCATTGTAAGATGGCATCATTTTTTTTCAAAGCAGAGCTTACTTGTTACTGATCTGATCTGAGACATTTTTATTTAGCATTCAGTGATTAATTTCATGTAACAATCGCTAGTTTGTTATACTTTGGCAGAGCCCAGGTGGTTTGCAGTCTTATGTCTTGGGTTATTTCTTACTCTCACATGTGGATCTTCTGTGTTTGTGCTTAATGGAAATGAGTTTGTGAAAGCTGTTCTGGATCAAATCTGTTTCTCCCAGATGGATCTCTTACTTAATCTTACGTGGTTTTTACATTACTTGTACCAGAGAGAGACAGTTCTAGGTATTCAGTACCAATTCACACAAAGTTAAAACATGCATAATTGTTAGCTGATGTTATTTGGGAAGCAGTGCATGGTGTTTTAAAGTCACAATGCAAATGCTGGTCTAGAGTTTTCATCTCTGTAGTTGGATAGAGTGAAGTTTTGAAGTGATGTTTAGAATCTGGACAGTCTGAAAGGATTGGCTCCTCTACTGTTCTACCTGCAGTGGCCTTAAGGAGTCAACGCCAGGTGTCCATTGCTAGCTTGTCATAGACCTTATGATTTCTTTTGTTAACAGAATTCTGCTTGGTCAGAGTCGCGATGGCATCGTGTTCAGCACTGATGACTATTTTCATCATCAAGATGGGTACAGGTACAATGTTAATCAACTTGGTGATGCCCATGACTGGAACCAGAGCAGAGGTTTGTTTTGGGCCAAGGCTCCTGGGATGGAGTATTTGACCTTGAGTCGTACCTGGGTTTTATTTTAACTTATAGACTTTTGCCACTGAATGACTTTGACAGACTGTTAATAACCCAGAGTCCCAATTTCTTATGTAAGACATGATAGTAATTATATTTGCCCTCTCGGGTAAAGTTTGTAAGAATCAGTGAGCTTAGATAAAATGGGATGATTTGTAGAAAATATAAGCTGGGGCCGGGCGGTGGTGGTGCACGCCTTTAATCCCAGCACTGGGAGGCAGAGGCAGGTGGATCTTTGTGAGTTCGAGGCCAGCCTAGGCTACCAAGTGAGTTCCAGGAAAGGCGTAAAGCTACACAGAGAAACCCTGTCTCGAAAAACCAAAAAAAAAAGAAAATATAAGCTGATAAAATACAGGTGGGGGACATTTCAATACGCTTCCTATTTTTGCACCTTATGACTAATTCATAAAACTCTTATACCTTTATTTTGTATTCTGAAAGCTGTTTCCACCCTGTATAATGCTGATGTCCTTAAATCTTAAACAATGCTTGTGTTAGTTTTCCTTGTTGATATTATGAGAACCCTATCAAATACTTTAATTTTAGAAGACATGGGTCAGTTTCTTTCCATCGTAAATAGTGGTCTCAATCCTGATAATCCATTTGAATCATATAGGGATCCCCTTACCTTTAAAAAAGGGCTTGTCCTTGGGGCTCAGCCCTAGAGATTCTGCTTCAATTTGGTTTAGAATGAAGCCTAAAAACTGGACCTTTAAAAAAAATATTTTCATTAAAAATTTTTATGTGTATGGGTGATTTACTTGGATGTAGATCTCTGGAACTGGAATTACAGACAGTTGTGAGCCACCACATGGGTGCAGGGAATTGAACCTGCATCCCTGAAGAGCAATCAGTGCTCCTAACAGCTGAGCTATCTCTCTAGCTCCGGGTTTTTTGTGTTTGTTTTTGTTTTTAATCCTCTAAATGATTATAATTTGGGATAGATCTAGAACTATCTAAAAAAAATACATGTGCTATAAGTTACTTTTAAAAATCTACTTTTGGGCTGACAAGATGGCTCAGTGAATAAGGCATTAACTGGGCTCTAGAATCTGCCTGCCCTAAACATGTCTGTATTTGGTACTTCCTTGTTGCTGAGACCCAATCAATACCCAGCAAGAAGCAGCTTAAAGAAGGGCTTGTTAGCTGGGCGGTGGTGGCGCATGCCTTTAATCCCAGCACTCGGGAGGCAGAGGCAGGTGGATCTTTGTGAGTTCGAGGCCAGCCTGGTCTACAAAGCGAGATCCAGGAAAAAGGCACAAAGCTGCACAGAGAAACCCTGCCTCGAAAAAAACAGAAAAAAAAGAAGGGCTTGTTTGGGCTCACAGTTTAAGAAGGGATCCCTGGCAGGGAAGGCATGACAGGAATGTGAGTGATGCAGCTGGTCCTGTCATCATCTTATCTACTGTCAGGAAGTAGAGGACCCCTTTCCTCCAGCCATGCCCCCACCTCTCACAGGTACCTCAGCCTTCCAGAACAATGTTATTGTCATTAGGGGATTGATTGTTTGAACGTGTGAGCCCATGGGGGCATTTCCCCTTCCATACCATAGGGTGCATCCAGGCCTTGGACATTGCAACCCAACCCTGTTCCCTGCAAAGTTCACTCTCAAGAACTGTTGAGCCTAGTTACAAAAAAAAAAAAAAAGTTGTGGAAAGTAAATCTCATGATGTTTTAAGTGAGTTTACAATTTTGTGGTGGGCCACAAATCATGACGATTCTTTGCCACATGTAGCCTATGAAATGCAGGTTGGACATGCCTCATTACATTATATTGAATTTAGTAGTTTGAATCCTGTATGTCGAGAAAATTTCCATCTTTTGCATTCAACTGATCATTTTTCAGAAGTTAATTTTCTTGTCTGCTCTCCCTGAGGTATACATACACTGCTGTCATTAACAAATGGCTCTCGGTGACAGTGACTCTTCCCTCGGGGTCAAGGAATGACATTGCAATAAAGAGGGTTTAGAATTACAGTTGCATCCCCTTCAGTCACACATTTGAGAATCATGAGTCTAAGAAATCCACAAAAATCAGCTGAACTGTCGTATTGAGCTACTTGACATAGGAAATTTTACTTGTGGGTAGTGCCTTTCTTTTATATTAACGTTCAAAAGCATCACTTAAGTTTTTTCTTTCCTTTTTTTTTTTTCTCTTTGAGATTATCACCATTCCACTCATGACTACCAGAAATTACCCAAGGAATCCCACTCCACATAGGCCTAATTCTCCTTACATGACAAAAAATTGCCCCCCCCTTCAATTCTTTTCCAAATTAGTGAACTCATAGACCCAAATATCCTCATCACATCAGCAACCCTTTCAGTCCTTACTGGAGCATGAAATGAACTCAACTAGACACAGACACAAAAGAATTACCCATATTCATCTGTTACCCATATAGGATAAATAATTTCTACTCTCCCCTACAACCTCTCCGTCACACTTCTAATGTTGTGTGTCCTCACAGTTTCCTTCTTCATTAGGCTCCACACCTGTTCATTTACGTCAGTCAACTCCATGTCACTTACAGGAAACAAAACCCCAGTCATACTACCTCTCAGTCGTACTACCTGTCATTTCCCTAGCTCTCCTTTCTGGGGGAAGCCGCCGTCCACTAACAGGGTTTCCACCCAGTGAATTATCATCACTGAACTACTGAAAAATAACAACTTCCCCTTAGTTACACTAATAGCAATTACAACCCTAATCAACTTATTTTCTACACGCCTAATTTTCTCCACCTCACTAACCACTTTTCCAACCAATAATCACTCCCAAATATTTATTCACCAAACAAATCCAAAAAAACAACCTTGCTATTTCCCCATTAGTAATTCTAAGTATATTTACCGTACCACTCTCTCTGTAGCCCTGGCTGTCCTGGAACTTTCTTTGTAGACCAGGCTGACCTTGAACTCATAGAGATCCACCTGCTTCTCCCTCCTGAGTGCTGGGATTAAAGTCATGCCTCACCATGCCCAACTTTCTTTTTCATTTTTATTTATTTATTGTGTGTGTTTGTGAGAGAGAGAGAGCAGGTGCACATGTACTCAGTGTGTGGAGATCAAAGAACAAGCTTTTTTCAAGAGTGATCTCTCCTTCCATCTTGTTTTGAGGCAGGATCTCTCTTGTATCTGTTGCTGCACTCTGCTCCAGGCTAGCTGGACTGGAAGGGTTAGACCCGTTCTCCTGTTTCCGCCTCCATCTTGCTGTAAGAGTTGTGGAATTGTAGGTGTGTACCATTGCCCCTGCTTTTTAATGTAGCTTCCCGGGAATGGGCTCAGGTTTCAGGCTTGCATGGCAAGCGCTTATCTGTCTGAGCCATCTCTCACATCATTTTTATATTACAGAAAAACTGTTTTGACCTAGAAAAGATCTTACTTAATGCCTCAGTGTTTTGTTACACTTTTCATGTAAAAATTCCTTCTGTGTAAGTAAATCTTTGCTTCTTGTACTTTGCTGTTTATCACCTTTATTTCCTGTTAATGAAATTTGGGTCTAGACTGAAAACTTCATTAGCTGTAAATGGACACAACACTCCAAGATGTGTTTTTGCAGTTTGTTGGGGTTGGTTTGTTTGTTTTGTTAAAACCAGCATCCAGTCCAGAACATATCTTGTATTTTATCTTTGGTATGTCTTGTATTTCATGGCACTTACTGAAAAGCTACTATAGTTTTCATTTTAAATGCAAAGATGTATTTCTTAATATCAAATATTTAAATTTTACTTACGTTTTTATTTCAGCAAAACAAGCTATCGATCAGGGGAGATCTCCAGTTATAATAGACAATACTAATACACAAGCCTGGGAAATGAAACCATATGTGGAAATGGTAAGTAGTTGACATGCAAGTTTTTGTCTTTTTTTTTTTTTTTTTTCTTCTTTTTTTCTTTTTCTAGTTTTTCAAGACAGGGTTTCTCTGTGTAGTTTTGGTGCTTGTCCTGGATAGGTGCTTGTCCTCTATAGACCAGGCTGGCCTCGAACTCACAGAGATCCGCCTGGCTCTGCCTCCCGAGTGCTGGGATTAAAGGCGTGTGCTACTGCCACCCGGCTTGTCTTTTTA